ATATATATATATATATATATATATATATATATATAGCGTGACTTAGCTTCATTGATAAGCTAGGTTTGGCTCGCTCCTCTTTGATCTGACTGACCGTCTCCTCGTTTTGCTGTCGGGCGTCAATTCTTTGTCGATAAAACATCTGGACCGATTGTTTGTGCACAGAGTCGGACCGGTCATAAGGTCCGACTGCTTAGGGCCCAGTGTTCAGAATATAACACAGAGGTTCCTGTTTAATCCTGAACGTCACTGCAGAGGACTCCCCCCTCATCCCAGCACACGGGGGGAGCCTGCGGCGGCCCGAATCGTCCCGCTGACAGAGAACAACCGGAATCAGTTCCGTCTTTGACATCCATTCCTGTGATTGCAACATCGTGGAACTCATCAGGCGACAGATCACAGGTTCTAAAGATGTTCCTAAGATCTCTGCTTCTACAGATGTTCTGATCCTTCACCTGCCATCATCCTGCAGTCCATACCGACATCAGAGGGACCCGAACCAGTTTCAGGCAAACATGAAGAAAATGTCAAACACGTCGATGCTGAGACGGGTCTGGTTGGACTCAGATGCTCAGACTGTGGAGCAGCTCCTTCTGAGCATGCTCAGTAGGAGCTGCTGACCTTCTTTCTGTGAAGACGAAACTCTGGAGAAACCTGCAGTCAGAGCGCTGCAGAGAAAACCCAGTGGGGAGGAGGAGCTGCATATTCATCTCGATTCTGACGTTCTCCAGCTTCAATCAGCAGAACCAGAACCGGAGCTGCAGACAGCTGGTACCAGAGAGGACAGATGCGTTCTGCTCTGACTCACAAGCAGCTGGTATCAGATGTTGCTCCAGCTGTTTGCAGTTGTTACTTCAGAGTTTTTAGAGCCTAAAATGAAACCTCATGGGTCAACAGAACACGGTGTTTAGGAGGACCTGAAGGGTTTGATAAGAGTGGAGAAACATTTCTGCTGAAGGGTCACGAAGAACCGTACGGTAACGTCTTCAGGTGCGGTAAACCTCGATCTGAACCGCAGAGAGAAGCTGCTGGGTTCTATTTTTATATCTGTGTCACTGTGAGCAGCTCACATGACCCAGTTTCTGCAAAGACTCCATCAAGATTCATCTGATTTAATTACAGCTGGACTCACAGTGAATACTTTCTAGGTTTGGACTAGGTGGAACCAAGACCAGGACCAACCAAGAAACCTGAGTAGTAAAAATGTCACCAGACTTAAGCTGCTGGGGTTGAACATGGGCAGTTTGAAACGCAACGGGTTTCTTATTGATCTGAGTCAAAGAAACTCAGATCACAACACTTTGTCCCCTAAACAGAGTACGTTTTGACCCTTACTCTGGACACAATTTGGCCCTTAACCATGGTACGTTTTGGCCCCTAATCACTAAATGCTTAGGCCTTTAGTCATGGCCCTTTTTTCCCCTAAACACTCAACAGAGTACGTTTTGGCCTTTAATCTTAGTATACTAGTATATTAGTATCTTAGTACTTTTAAAGAGCCCACTTTCATTCAATTTAATACTTTGTCCCCTAAACAAGGTACAATTTGGCCCTCAATGCTTCGTCCACTAAACAGGATGTTTTGGCTCCGCCCCCTAATGATAATGTTTGGCCTTTTTCAAAATATGATTTGGGCCTGAATTCACAGGGGAAAGGTCTGAGAAGCACCACATGCATCTCGACTGTGTGTGTTTTGTGAGTGATTAGTGGACAGGAACCACAGCCCGGATCAGTCGTTCCATCGCTCCTGACACCGAACACGACCCACCTGCCAGGCATTTAACGAGCCGAGACCCGGTCCAAATGTCTCCTTTACACTCTGAACATCCCTGATCAGGACAAAACGCCGCCCTGGTTTCAACACAAACCTGGTTCTGACTTTAATCAAGCTGCTCATTTTCTGCAAACCTTCCAAAAGACTTCAAACAGAACCCAAAGAGACCTGTTTGTTCTGAACTCCATGTGGAGAACCACCTGATCCACATCTAAAAATCGTCTGTTTGTCTCTTCATTAAACTGTTTCCCTCTAAATTAATTTATTGGAGACGTGAATTTATTTTAGTCTGAAGACAATTTTATTAAAAAAAGTTTATTTCAGTCTGAATGAGGAGTTTTTCTGATGACTCAGTTTACAGAGAAATAAATCAACTCTTTATTTAAAGCAGGAATCTTTACAGAGCAAAGAAGTAATTTTCTGATCGGATGCTCGACAGGACAGAAGAAACTGGACCCACCATCACCCCAGAACCTGATCAGCTTCACTCAACAACACCGCCTCGACCAGCAGCCAGAAATACTGTCTGCCCAGTCCAAAACCAGAAGCCAGCAGCCAGAGACCCACAAAGAGACAGAAACCAGAGAGAGTCCACAGAACCAGCAAGAACCATCCAGAACCAAGAGAAATCAACAAGAACAAACATGGTTTATGTTTGTTCTTGTTGATTTCAAGAACAATCAAGAACCAAGAAGAACCAACAGAAACCAGAGAGAGAGTCTACAGAACCAGCAAGAACCAACAGAAACCAGTAAGAACCAAGAACACATGTTCCCGCAGAGCTGCGAGACGCTGACGGGACGGGACGCAGGGACTGCAGCGTTAAACGAGGCCTGCAACGACACAAAGACACACATCAGCACAACTCCACACAGGTTCTAAACTCCTCTTGGAGGTTCTGAGAGAACCCAAAACACTGAAATTCTTTAAACGTGAGGAAAGCTGCTCCGGTTCCTGATAAGCCGAGATCCTCTGGAGTTCTGATCCAGGTTTACTGTGGGGTGGTCCGATCAGATGAAGTCCGTGCCGCCTCCAGACCAGGTGGGTCTGTGGATCCATCAAGTTCTACGGTTCTTCCAACTTTTCACACAGTTTTTGAGACTCAGGACTAAAAGTTTCAGGTGGACCTGCAGACTGGAGCAGGTCACCAGGGACGAGAGATTTAAAAAAAACTTTTAGAATAATAAATTCATGTAAATATAAAGTTTATTTTTTATCCTGAAGAAACGAATCGTAAACCCAGACAAAGTCTGAGCTGACCCAGCACAGAACCGAACCTTCACTCAGGTCAACAACACACTAACAGTGGCCTCCATGGGACCCCTCAGAACCAGAACTCTGAGTCGGACCCAGATGGTCCTGGGTGCTTGTGCTGTAACAAGAGCTCAGAACCATAGGAACCACGCTCACCATCGTTCTCAGGTGTGTTCCTCACCTTTGACGCGCTGCAGGTCTGCAGTCAGCTCTGGCTCCGATTGGCTGGGAGGCCTGTAGGGGGGAGGCTGTCTGAGGGGGGGCAGGGCATCTTCTGAGTTCTGGAGGGAGGTGGGGGACAAAACAAACAAAGATAAACAACAGCAGAAACAAAAACAGTCCTGATTTCTTCCTGTGTTCCTGTTGCAACATGTCCAGGTATTTAGTCTCTGTTCAAAGCCCCGCCTCAATTTTGGAATGAAAACAAAGCTCCGCCCCTTTTTGGAGGGAAATCTGATCTTTGGTTGGTGGTGAATAAATTTGTTTTACTTCGTGGCTGTAAGGTCCAACATGTTCTGGTCTATCAGGATAGTAAATATTTAGCATCCCTCTGATTGGTCTTTAGCTTTATTCATTAAAAAATAATGAAATAAAACTTGAAGCCTGACCTGAGGTTTTATTAAACCAGAACTCCTCTGCAGAATTTATACCATTTCTGAGACATAGGTCCTCAGCTGGGTCAGGAAGCAGGTCAGGTTTGGACTGACCTGAACAGGGTTCCAATGTATTTTAGCTTTCTTTATTAAAAAACATATTTGTTTTTAAACTTGAAGAGTTAAAGAGGAAAATCTCAGTTTCAGTTTGAGAAGATTTACATTTTCAGGAGCTGGACTACTCCTTAAACCTGGTTCTGATACTGTGAAGCCCACATGAAGAGGCCAGCAGGTCCAGAATCATCTGAATAATTACAGAGGGCAGCCCTACTGCCCTGATAAAGTGGTCTGTGCTGCCCCCTGCTGGTCCCTAATGGTCTCTGCAGGACTCAGACTGATCAGGGTCCATGTGTGTCTCTTACCGCAGCCTCTGTCCTCTTGGCTTTCTGTCTGCTGTAGCTGGAAGCTGTTAGAGAAAACGGCTGGAACACAAACATTTAAAACCACAGGTCAGAAAACACTTTATTGAATCTGGAGTTACAAACAGATTAGTCTCCCTGCACCGCCTGCCCGTACATTCTAGGATTCATTTAAATTATTTTCTTTGCTTTTAAATCTCTAAATGGGCCTGCCTTGCCCTATCTGTCTGAGTTGCTACATCCGTACACACCCTCTGGATCCCTCAGGTCATGTGATCAGCAGCTCCTGAGTGTGTTGAAGACAAAACATAAGCTCAGAGACCGTGCTTCTGCTGTGGCAGCTCCTAAACTGTGGAACGACCTACAGTGAACATCACACTCTTCCCAAAACCATCTCTTCTCCCTGACCTTTGACCCCATTTGAGATGATGACTTTAATTATTTTAATCACTTTTATTATCCAACTGTCTGATTATTTTATTATGTGTACAGCACTTTGGTCCTGTGGGAGTTTAATGTGCTCTATAAATAAAACTGTTTATGATATGTTGCGTTACGGTACGTTATGGTATGTTATGGTATGATATGGTACAAACCGGATTCCAAAAAAGTTGGGACACTAAACAAATTGTGAATAAAAACTGAATGCAATGATGTGGCGGGGCCAACATCTAATATTTTATTCAGAATAGAACACAAATCACAGATCAAAAGTTTAAACTAAGAGAATGTATCATTTTAAAGGAAAAATCTTTTGTTTCCAAATTTCATGGCGTCAACAAATCCCCAAAAAGTTGGGACAAGTCCATTTTTACCACTGTGTGGAATCCCCCCTTCTTCTTCCAACACTCAACAGACGTCTGGGGACAGAGGAGACCAGTTTCTCCAGTTTAGAAATAGGAATGCTCTCCCATTCATGTCTAATACAGGCCTCTAACTGTTCAATCGTCTTGGGCCTTCTTTGTGGCACCTTCCTCTTTATGATGGACCAAATGTTCTCTATAGGTGAAAGATCTGGACTGCAGGCTGGCCATTTCAGTACCCGGATCCTTCTCCTACGTAGCCATGATGTTGTGATTGCTGCAGAATGT